AAAAGCAGTAAGTATATGTTGAGTTCAGTTTGTTGTTAAATCCAAGCATTGTTGAATCAATATATCAGCTCAGACCAAAAAAAGAGACTAACAATATTTTTATTTGAAAATGCTGGTATCAGAGGTGTTACAGTTACATAAGTCAGGCAAAAAGTACATTTCCTTTTGTATATCTACTAACAATTATATTAACAAGATTGACAATTTGATTGTAATCCCTTCTTCCCATTAGAAATGTACTGAAATGAATTGATAAAGGCATAATTGCTAGTTCAATTATACATATTTGTTAAAAGCTATTTCAAAATCTAGGTCTCTCATGGTCAGAGCAAAACATTAGTGACTAAGAAATAGTGGGTGAAACTCCAATTCAATGGGAAGATTTCAGATGCTTCCAAATAAATGGATGGTAGGCTGCATCATGACGTCAAGTGAGATTTGCTCTGCTTGAAGGAAAGCAATAAAAGGAGCAAGGAGATGAGAGTCTGCAGATCATCAAAGTTTTCAGTAGAAGCTGGAGAATCCGTATCTTCCACAGCATGGACGGTAGCATCCATACCCATAACCTCCAAAGCCAGAGCCGTAGCCAGAGCCCCAGCCGTAGCCTCCACAGCCAGAGCCCCAGCCCAGCCTGCTGAAGCTGCTGCATCCGCAGCCATAGCCACAGCCCAGGCCTCCGAAGCCTCCGTAGCCGTAGCCCAGGCCTCCGTAGTAGCTGCCGTAGTAGCTCATGGTGTCAGGAGAGGTGAGTTGGTTTCACACTGAAGTTGAAATTGCGGAGTGTGTGTGTCTTCATCTTCCCCAAATGCTTTTATACCCTCAGTAGTGGGTGTGTTCAGGACAGGTGATCTCATTTCCCTATCACAGAACAACTGTAAATTATTTTAAATTGTTCCCTTCTGACTGAACAAAAGGTCTAAACTCTTATTAAGGAACGGTTAGTAATAATTATATTTTAATGAGTTTGCATTCCTCAGAACAAAATGTTTCCAAGATGAAGAAGTATTGCAGCCTCTTCAAAGAACTTAAATGAGTTGCAGTGATCGCGGGCTAATCTTTGGCTGATAGCTTCCAGCAGCCCTGTCATTACAGTAACCTGAGTGCTTTTCTTTTTTAATATGAATTCCATTGTCTTAGCTACTTGTCATTCCCAGAACCCCAGGTCTTTTCTCCATCTTGGCAGGACATGATCACATAGCCATATTTGCAGGAAACCTGGTGTTTTGTTATTGTTGTTGTTTATTTGAAGTTTTGACATTTCTTACTGTTGACCACCACCACATTCTTTTTTTTCTTTTTTTCAATCCTGGGGCTTGAACTCTAGGCCTGGGCGCTGTCCCTCAGCTCTTCAGCTTAAGGCTAGCACTCTACCACTTGACCCACAGCACCACTTTCTGGTTTTCTGAGTGGTTTATTGGAGATAAGAGTCTCTCAGACTTTTTCCAGGGCTGGCTTTGAACCATGATCCTCAGATTTCAACCTCCTGAGTAGCTAGGATTACAGGTGTGAGCCACCAGCACCCAGCTGCATTCTTTCTTCTCTTACTTACTATGGTGAACATTTGACAAGCCTCCTTTATCAATTCTTTACTTCTCCCGATTCCTATATATTCTTTAACTCTGAAAGTCTTACCTGTATTTCTTTTCAGTCAGTAGATACTTTTCCCAAGGAATTGCATTGAATGTTCTTCTGAACCAAAGTGTGTGCACTAGTGATTTTTACTCCATTGAGCTCTCATTTGAACTACATGACAAATTCCTCATCCAGCCGGAGGAGATTCACCTTCCAAAGCAGCCTCATGTCCCTCTCTTAATCACTCCAGCTACACTTTTTGATATGCTCTGGGAAACTTCTATTTTACCATTATTCCCTCGAGTTCTTCCCCCGATATGCACATCAGGTGAACCACATACATGGAATTCTGTAAATTATTCTGGTACATCTGTTGTTAACACTATGTTCAGAAGTTCTTGGTCACTGTCCCGTAGATTAATGTAAGACCTTATTATTGGTGGCACGGCCCGAGGAAGTATTCTGCTCTTTTTTTCTTTCCATACAAGTCCCAGATTAACATTGTAAACAAGAAGATCTGGTCACTTCATTTTCCAGCCATTATATATGTTAGCCATTAAAAAAATGAATTGAACATCTTAAAATCACAAACTTTTCTTTTCATCAGTAAACTCTCCTGGTCACTTAAAAACTATCAGGAATGCAGTGTGAATATATCAATGCAAGAGAATATATATATATATATATATCAATATATATATCATCTGTGTACTTATGAGACTGTAGGCTGTTCCTTGATCCTGGAATCCAGTTTTCTATTTCTTCACCTATTTCATTCTAGACCATTCTTCCAAATATATCCTTCTAAAAAATACTGAAGGGATGTTCCTAGTTACTTCCACTCCATCCTGATTTAGAATACCCATCCGAGGGCTGTTGATTTGCCTAGACAGAATTCCATTGTGTTTCATCAGACTTAGATTTTATTTGTCGGTGGGGGGGGGGGGTATAATTGGGTGGGGGGAGGGGGGAGGCTGGGAAGGGAGGTGAAGGGTAAACAAAGGAGGAGGCTGCAATGCTTGGTAAGAAATGTATGCATTATCCTGCCCATGTAATTGTAACCCCTCTGTACAGTATGTTCTCAAATAAAATAAAATAAAATTTAAAAAAAAAACAGACTTAGATTTTAAAACATAAATTGTTTGCCTACCTTCTCCATCATACTGAGGAATCCTTGAAGGCAGGAAATTTATTCTCATTACTCTTTATAACTTGTATCTGAAATAGAGTAGGTAATAGACTTTTGGATGAATGGTAAAGTTAATCAAGAAGGCTATAAACAACAAATAAATTCTATGCGTCTCTGTCTTCTGAACCTCACAGGGTAGCATTTTTTTCTAGCAATGTTGCTAAAGACCAGGAAGGTGTTTATGTGGCACTATACTTATAGTCTTCTGCTTTATTGAGTAATTTAAACTTCAGTCAAAGAACAATGTTGAAAATCTGATTCTTGTTAATAATTGGCATTGCAGTCTCCCTGGTTAGGTTAGTGATATTAGCAGCACTAGAGATATGAATCTCTTAGAATATTTTCTATAAAATATGTACACGAACTGAAACAACGCACAAATACTGGGGCCTTCCACATAACCATGAGGGAGGAACCACAAATTTCAAATTAGAAAAAGAAGTCAGAAAAAGTAGCATCGATTCTAGTGGGAAAAAACTGATACACTTATTTCTGTAACCCATTGAAGAGTAAAGCTCTATATCCAGAAAAACTGGAGACAAGAATGGGAAAACAGCTGGGCGCCAGTGGCTCACGCCTGTAACGCTGGCTACTCAGGAGGTTGAGATCTGAGGATCACAGTTCAAAGCTAGCCTGGGCAGGAAAGTCTGTGAAACTCTTATCTCCAATAAACCACCAGAAAAAACTGGACGTGGCACTGTAGCTCAAATAGTACAGTGCTTGCCTTGAGCTGAAGAGCTGAGGGACAGCACCCAGGCCCAGAGTTCAAGCCCCACAACCAACCAAAAAAAAATGGGAAAACAGTGTCTATGTTACCCAAAAAACTCCCTTAAAAAGACAAATGCTTCAGGAAAACCTTATATGAAAGGAAAAACAGGGGCTGGGAAGGTGGCCTTGCATGCATGAGGCCCTGGGTTCGATTCCTCAGCACCATATAAGCAAAAAGAAAAAAGCCAGAAGTAGTGCTATGGTTCAGGTGGTAGAGTGCTAGCCTCGAGCTGAAGAGCTGAGGGACAGTGCCCAGGCCCAGAGTTCAGGCCCCACGACCAGATCCCCCCCCTAAAAAAAAAAAAAAGAAAGAAAAGAAAAACACATGAAAAATGAATTGGTGGAGAATCCCACGGTGTAACTGAGAAAAAGGATGATATTTTTTCCACCAAGGACTTTTAGAACCATGGCAAATGTCCACTTGTTTTTCTTGTCCTGACATGTCCACTTGAGTAATTTTGTAGTATTTTCTGTTTTAGGAGCAGCTTGTTCCTATATGCTAGAGAAGTATCTTCCAATGTTAAGTGGTGCTATGTACAGTATTTTTGGCTGAGGTTTTAGCCCTTAATTTTATATATAATTAATTATATATTATTATGTTATTATATATTTATATATTAATATTTATATTTATATGATGAGATATAGAAATATGGAGACGTGTGTTCTTCTGGAATAATTTTTATGAGTTTAACAATAGGACCATGTAGATTCAAGACCAATATGGAATACTTCTCAATATTGTTATGAATTTTTAACCGTATACAAAAAGAATAAATGCTAAAAAGAAATATCATCATATAACCATCTCCTGACCTAAGAGTTTATAAAATATTTACAAATAAACCTAAGTTTTTCTATCATCATTGAAAAATTTTAAATCTTTAGAAACAGAGTTCTTACACTTTCATAGAGAAGAAATTACACATACTGAAGTTGGCAGGTATAGTAAACAGAAAACATTGAAGGAAAGGAAATTTTTTAAAAAGGCATAAAATGGAAGGGAAGGGTTTGTAAAGAAAGAAGAAAAAGGAAGGAGAAAGTAATAATCATTCATGAAATATGTTAAACTTATTATAAATGAGAAGATAACTATGCCATACTTGATGATTATAGATAACAGGTAATATGAAAATTAAACCCCAAGCAAATATGGCATGCCAGTTCAAGTTTATTACTGTACTTTTGATATCCAAGACAAGAGGTTACAGAAATGTGATAATTCTCTATCCAATGCATTCTTGAAGATCATTACTAATCATTCTTGAAGCTCATCACTGATCAAATATCAGTACCTTAGTTCATCTAGTTTTCTTCCCACAATTGTCAGAAACCAGGTACCCCCTCCCCAAATTAAAAGCAGTGTAATTATCAGAATAAATCAAGCACGCAGAGGACCATGGAATTAAGTTCCCTAGAAGCTAGGTTTTAGGAAAGACAATGACAAGTATTATAAACATTAAGTATTTATTCAGTAGAAGCCAGAAGACCAGTAACCCCCATAGCATGAAGGACGGCAGCAGCCATAGCCGTAGCCCCCAAATCCAGACCGATAGCCGTAGCCTCCATAGCCAGAGCCCCAGCCCAGCCTGCCGAATCCACTGCATCCGCAGCCATAGCCACAGCCCAGGCCTCCGAAGCCTCCAGAGCCGTAGCCCAGGCCTCCGTAGTAGCTGCCGTAGTAGCTCATGGTGTCAGAAGAGGTGTTTAGTTGCAGGTGAGTTCTGTGAGTGTGGCTGCAAAAGAAGGTTTATATACACTCCCAGGGGTGTGAAAGCCACACCTCTCAATGTCACTCATTAAAACCTAATGCGAAACAAAACATGCCAATTGTCTCCTGTCCTAGCACTCAACCACATCTTCCACTTGTCTATGCAACTAGTCCTTTACAACCCGTGCAGCTTGTTTGATGTTCTGCGTTATGTGGCTGCCTAAAAAAATATTTTGCCTCAAATAAAATCCGAGCGTGTTTACAGTTGCAAGACATGCTTGAGTCTCTGAGTTCCAAACTCCATAAATGAATTCTCCATAACCTCAAATATTCAAACTGTGCCACTGAGGATTGCATTTACCTTCTAATTGCACCCTGACCTTTGATGGTCCTCCCTGGCTGCTTGATGTGTCTTAACACAATGGGTTTTTGTCATCAGCTGAGAATAGTACCAGACTGTGCAAGGATGATGTTTCATTTTTAAAATAACTAAAGCTGATGTCCTCAAAGGGCATTCTTAAATGTCACGCCTCCTGTAGCTGCTGGGCAGCTCTCACTGAAAACAGCATTGAAGAGAATTGTGCTAATTCTTTATAAATAGCTCCCTAGACATACATTCTCTTAGATTCTAAATTCCAGAGAATTAGGAAATATAAATATATGGCTCTATAATTACAGAATTAAAAAATTTGAAATCAATTATTTTATTTTTTTAAACCATTGAATAAACTGTGATTCTTAGAGAAGCTGAAGTGGAAGTCAGGAGAAAAATCTAAGGGCTTCCAGCCTGAGACATAGTTCAGCAAGTAAAATGTTTAACTAAGGATAAAATTGCAGGTTATGGAATGTCTTCTTACACAATATCCAGTTTCTGCCATTTTCAACCATTCTATTGTTCGTTCATATTGTTGTAATAAATGAATAGGTGTGATCAGCTACTTCTGTTCTCCAGAAATGCTCAACATAATTGAATACCACAAAGAGCATAAGTGATTATTGAATTTTGTTCATATATTTTAAACATTTTCCCTTATTGGGTAATTAAGAGAAAAGTATAATTGTTTGCTTATATATGTTCTCTTCAGTGAACTATGCAGTTATTAGTGAAACGCAACTGATCTATTTCCACACCCTTCAGTTAGAAAAACTGTCTTTATTTTTTTATTGTGAGAATACCATACAGAGGGTTACAATTATATGGGTAAGATAATGAGTACATTTCTTATCAAGCATTGTTGCCTCCTCTTTGTTTCCCCTTCCCATCCTTCCCATACTCCCCTCCTTCCCCCACTTGATCCACTCCCCACCCCTCCCACCAAAGTTGTAAAGTTCGGTTTCAACATAATGACTTTTACATCTCATTGTTGCAATGGGTCCACCTGTATCCCTAGTTAAACGATGTGTTTTTTCCCTTCCCCTCCACAAATTATACCAACATCAAATAGAGTGAAAGCATGGGTTATACCATGGAGGAGGGACATACAAAGCAACAAAGAAATCATCTTATAAATATGTTAGAAACCATTGCATGAAAGGAAAAAAAAAACCAAAAGAACATTTGATTACTTATCTTGGGATTCATTCCCGTAACATCAACTTATCTGACCTTTTCTTCTTGAGTCAGACATATACTAGTTATTGCAAATAAGGGAAACAATGGGACCTATGTTTCTTTGGGCCTGGCTTACTTCACTTAATATAATTTTTTCCAAGCCTTTCCATTTCCTAACAAATGGGGCAATGTCATTCTTTCTGATGGAGGCATAGAATTCCATTGTGTATATATACCACATTTTCTTGATCCATTCATCTACTGAGGGACATCTGGGTTGGTTCCATAGCTTAGCTATGGTAAATAATGCTGCAATAAACATAGTTGTGCTGGTAGCTTTAGTGTGGTCTTATTTGTAAACATTTGGGTAAATGCCCAAAAGTGGGATTGCTGGGTCATAGGGGAGCACTATGTGGAGTCTTTTGAGGAACCTCCATACTGCTTTCCAAAGTGGTTGAACAAGTTTACACTCCCATCAACAATGCAGTAAGGTTCCCTTCTGTCCACATCCCCTCCAGCATCTGTTGTTATGAGAGTTCTTGATTATAGCCATTCTAACTGGGATGAGGTGGTATCTCAATGTTGTTTTGATTTGCATTTCTTTTATGGCTAGGAGGTTGAGCATTTCTTCATGTGTCTATTGACCATCCTTCTTTCCTCTTCAGAGAAGTTTCTCTTTAAGTCTTTAGCCCACTTATTTATTGGGCAGTTGTTTCTTTGAAGATTTGTTTTTCAGGGATTTATTTTTTAAGTTCCTGGAATATTTTAGATATGAGACCCTTGTCTGTTGTATGGCTAGTGAAGACCTTCTCCCAATCCGTGGGCTTTCTATTGATCTTGCTAGCTATATCCTTTGCCATGCAGAAGCTCTGCAATTTCATGCAGTCCCATTTGTCCACCTTTCTTTGATTTGTTGTGTTTCTGGGTCTCTATTAAGAAAATTTCTTCCTCTGCCAAGGAGACCTAGGATTTCTCCTATTCCATCCTGTAATGTTTTCAGAGTGTCTGCTTTGACTCCGAGGTCTTTGATCCATTTGGAGTTGATTCTGGTGTAGGGTGATATATAAGGATCTAAGTCAATATAATTTAATAATCAGTACAACTTAAGGTAATTTTAAAAATTACATTACAAGACCAATTTTTCCTGATAGGAAATAATTGGTATGAAAAGAGCAGAAGTACAATGTATTTACATATAATATATGTGAAAATAGCATAATGAAAAGAAAAACTATTATGAAGGAGGAAAGCATGGGTTTAGAAAAAATAGCATAGTGTTGAATTCAGACAAAAATACAATAATATATGCATGTATAAAAATTATAATGAAACTCCTCTATACAACTCATATTAATAAAAAGTCTCACAAGAATCAAATAAGAACAAGTTCTTATATATCTTGTCATTATTTGACTCATGAAAAGTAAATAAGCCCATAGCTGTAAGTTTTGACCATATTTGAAACAATAATTCATGGCTTTTTCTTATTCTCAGCCCACATATCCTCCTTCCCTGGGCAGAGAGAGCTAGCCTCTCCCCTACACGTGCTGATTTCTAGAGAAAAGACAATCCTTAGAGCTTTTTCATCTTTCTGAGATACAAGCATACTCCCATTTTAAAAGTTTGACAAGTATCATTTTGTATTATTTTTAATCTTCTAAAAATATTATAATTTTTTTTCTTCAATCAGTGTATCTTTTACAAAAACATTCACATAAAGGTGTTATTCTGTTATTCTAAAACCTCTATGGAAAGATTGTTACTAGCGAAAGGATGAAAAATAGCAAATTCTATCAGGACATAATAAGAGGCAAGCTCTGATACACTGTTGTGGGAATGTAAATTAGTACTTCGTAAGTGTAGTGTCTTTTAAAAAAAACAACTCAAATACAATTATCACTCATTCTCACTCATTTGTAGAGAGCAGAAATATCTCATAGAGAATGGAGTGAAATAGTAACTGATAGTTATTGGAAAGATCAGTGAGAAAGAGGTATAAAGAACATAGTTAAGAGCTATGGACACCGGTGGCTCACACCTCTAATCCCAGCTACTCAGGGGGCTGAGATCTGAGGATCTCGGTTCAAAGCCAGGGGGTAGGAAACTCCATGACACTCTTTTCTCTAATAAACCATGCAGAAAACCAGAAGTGGTGCTGTGGCCCAAGTGATAGAGTGCTCGCCTTGCGCTGAGGAGCCTAAGGACAGCGCCCAGGCCCAGAGGTCATGACACAGGACTGCCAAAAAAAAAAAAAAAAAAAAGAAGATAGTTAAGGAGAAACAAAACACAGCAAGAAGGAAGGATTCCTTCTGTTTTCCTATAGTACAGTATGGTAATTATAAGTAACAACATATAATAATATATTTTAAAATAATAAGAGTATGAAAATGTATAAGACCCAAAATGGAAGAAATCTTCAAATATATCTTTTCTGTTTTCTTGGTTTGTCTTATGATTTTCTTTATTATTGATACATAATATTTGTACCTCTTTATGGGTGTGATGACTTAATCATTAATAAGCAATCCCCTGATGCAAATGACTTGGTTTTTAGAAGGAACATGACCTTAGAAATGGATATTGAACATTTAAACTACACATCTGTAGTAAATATTTTGTTAAGAATAATGGTAATATGCCACTTTTTAAATAAATGTTTTAATCACTTAAACCTTCAGTTGTATCAGTAGGTTTAACTTTTAAAAGCATTTTAACTTTTCTCAGTTCTTGAGAATTATGACTATTGATTAATTTATATAATACTCCTTTTAGAAATATTTACAGGAGTTAATAGCCTGTTCAAGGCAGCTTGATTGTCCTTTCAGTGATGAATCTATTCATTCATTTATCCAACAAGTGTTTACCACTTACTCTATTTCAGGTAACAGAACACAAGATGGAAGGAAGGCAGGAAGGCAGGCAGGCAGGCAGGCAGGAAGGAAGGCAGGAAGGAAGGAAGGAGAGAAGGAAGGGAGGGAGGGAGAAAAAAGAAAGAGAGAGGGAAAGAGATAGAGATGGGAAAGAGAAAGAGAAAGAATAAAGGAAGGAAGGAAAGAAGGAAGGAAGGAAGAAAGAAAGAAAGAAGAAGGAAGGAAGGAAGGAAAGAGATAAGGAAGGGAGGGAGGGAGAAAAAAGAAAGAAAGAGAGAGGGAGAGACAGAGAGAAAGAGAGAGTGGGAAAGAGAAAGAGAAAGAAAAAGAAGAAAGGAAGAAAGAAGGAAGGAATGAGGAAGGAAGCAAGGAAGGAAGGAAGGGAGGGAGGGAGGGAGGGAGGGAGGAAAGAAGGGAGAGAGGGAAGGAAAGGCTTGTCTATAAACATCATGGAGTATACATTCTTGTTTACTGTGCATGAAAAAGGAACTGAAGATAAAATGAACAAGGAACTCTGGAGATCTGGGGGTTGTTACATCTATGGTGTTGTCCATAAA